GAGGCCGCCAGCGAGCAAGAGAGCGAGCGAGCCAGCAGGAGCGCAGCCTGCCGCCCTTCGGGCTGACCCGGCCACCGACCGACCGTCAGGGAAGCCCGCATAGCCTCGCTCGGAGTCTGAGGCCAGCTGCTCCAGACACCAGAAGTCACACCCGCTGCTGTGAGGGGCCCGTGTTTTGACCTACTTTGAGATGGCAGACACTTTGACCAAGTCTTTCACACAGTCAGAAAGATACATTTGTTGAGTAGTGGCTTTTACTCTTTTTAACCGGAAACAAAGAAATAAATTAAGGACTCAGGACCTAGCCTGCATACTGTGAAACTTTCCAACAAATGCCTTTGCTTTCTCTAACTTCAATGTCCTTTCCCCTTTTCCTTAAGGAGCCCTTGGGGAAGCCATGAAGTAGCACTGCACATTCCAGTAACACAGTTATGAAAATATGTATTTTTTTAAATTTCAAAAACATTTAGAAACAAAAGTAGTAGGGAGAAAAGGGCACACAACAACTCGAGGTTTCTTTAAAAAAAAATTGAAAGTAACTTACCTGTTGGGACATTCTGAACAGGAGGTTAGTATCAGCGTTTTGCCATGTCCCCATGAACCCTGGTTCAGCCGGAGTCGTTCTGGTTCCGAACTGCATGGAGTTGTCAGTACAGGAGTCTCTTAAAGTCAAGTCTCTTGGCCTCTTTGGCTCTCTGTCTCTCTGTGTGTCTCTTTCTCTCACATCCACTTCTGCCTCTTCTGACTGAAAAGTGAAGGTGGATTTTTTGAGCTTCTTGGCAGCCAGTAGCAGGAGTATAGTGTAGTTAAGAAGCTGGCTGAACTGTGCATTTCATTTGGGAAGGGGGAGATCTGGGGGAGGGAGGGGGGTCAGAGCTTCCTTCGCACCTTCTGCACAGATATCCCTATCATTTATGCATAGATTGTGACTCCCCGAGCTTGCCTTTGCTCGGTTTAACAGCTGCCTGTCAGGTGTGCAGGCAGCACTGGAGACCCAACCATCAGCTTCAAACCCTCAGCCACTGCATGTCATTGGATAGCAGAGCTAGGAGTCAACTGCACTGTTCCACTGTCAGACACCAAATGACACCCTGCACTAACATCTCTCCAGATACACAGATAGATACATACTCATGCACACTCCAAGCTATGTATGCCACGGTCACTGTCAACAAGGCCAGGGAAAGCCAGGGCCCTTCCCTGGCAATTTTTCCCAACAATGCTCTCTGCTAGAACATGTTATATCCGGCACCAGTCTTTGCTTTAACACTTGTAAAACTGTGAGACTTAAATATTTTTAATTATATTGGAAGCGAGTAGTCATCTGGAGAATATAAAGTTTGCCCAGTTGTTGTCTAAATATTAGCTGCCACAAGTCACACAGTACACCCTGAGCTATTTATAAGCATGCATACAGAAAATAATGTACAGAGATTTGTCCTTATATTCTAAAACATGAACAAGTAAACCTACCAGTTAAACATGGAAGATGTACAGTAAACATATGCAAAAATAAACACATATTACTTAATATCTAGCACCTCAGGCCATTAACTACCAAACTGAAGGTTAAGTAAGGAGAAGCTGAATGCAAAGGAGAAAAATGAATTCCTTTTCTTAAAGCTCACAAGCAGAATAAATTCCTTTGTTAAAGTTCTCAGGTAAAGCATCTACAACATCCTTTAAAATCATAAAAAAAGGCAAAATATGAAGAAAAAAAGCCTGTCCTATTTCAGGCAAAAAGTAATGCATATAAAACCACCATTTTTTTTCACTCAGGATCTATGTGGAAAATTCTGTTTCCCTACCTGATGAAATATAACCTTGATATTGGGTTGTATTTTTAATTAAACCAGTTTTTAAAATAAACACCTATTTATTAAGTAACATTTATCTACCTTATTTATGGAAAAGCAGAATGAACAAAATCCACTGTACATAAACATTGTAACTTCAAAATGGAAAGCTAAATTCATGCCATCTCATAAAAGTAGTCAGCAGGAAAAAGCCATCCTTCCTAAACTTAAAATGTAAGGAACATTTATCTTCAGCCACTTACAAATACTGAGGACAAATGTACCACTCTGCTTGCTCCTTCTTAACTAAAGAATAACAATAAACCTTCCTCTCAGAAACAACAAAAGAAACAGAAAAGCGCTTCAATGGCAGCCCTGTGTCATTAGTGGACAATGAGAAAAGATGAGAAAACGTACACTATGTTGACACAAATGTGCCTTCCCTTCTAGAACTGACATCTCCTGAAAGCTTTTCTGTTAAACTTCCCTCCAGTTCACCACCATTAAGCACAAAAAAGTCTCAAAAGAAGCAAATTCAATATCTGAAAGGAAACAAACAAGAACCCAAAGAATTGTTGCCTTAAAATATATTAAGTCCACCTGTGGTCAATAAAAATATTCTTTTGCAGGGGAGGGCGGGAAAAGCCCCTATGAGTCAATTGTCAATGGTGACTGTACCTTTACTGCTATTACCCACTTAACTCCCTCTAAAATTTGCTAGCCTCTTGATTTCTGAAGTGGCACTCAGTGCCTCAGTCAAGCTGCCTGCTCAGCTCCTGACCTTCCCACTAATGGCTGTTATTTGTGGGAGGCTTAAGGACACTGTCAATAGCAAGCTTCCTCCTCGCTCCACTCAAGCACTGTTGTATCGCTCTGCTTGCCTGTTCTCTCGCCTCTCCTGCTCTCTCCCTTCTCTTAGTCCTTCCCCCTCCTTCCTCACTCTCCCTCACTCCCTCTTTCTATTTTTCCAGCCCCCACCCCTTTTCTCTCAGTTCTGAGATCATCTTCTTTCCCAGGTATTCCCCCCGCCCACCACACTTGTACACACACACACACACACACACACACACACACACACACACACACACACACACCACACAAAAATCAACTGGCATGCAGCAGCAAGCACCTGCAGTAATAGACTCTTTTATTAAAACTGTTATTCTGCAAGACTTGAAATTCCCCATGGACCGGGCCATGTCAAAGCCGATATAATTAACTAGAGGCTCAGCAACGGATCAATTACCAGACAAGCAAGTGATAGTGAAATCAATGAAAGATCATCAGCCACATTATCAGTGTTGCAACTCATTAGGGCAAAACTGAGAAATGTGCTCAACTCGAGCCCAAGCAAGGTGGCATTACAAAACAAAGGGCTAATTTGGAGACCCTGCTGTGAACAATCTGTAACAGAATTAGCCTTTTTTCCCCCTAAACTGCACAGCTCCATAACTAAATGTGACAGACTGAGAGGAGCAGTTTATTAAGACACCAACCCCAAGTTTATTTAGTTCATAAACTCTCTCCTAGAAAATCAATACAGTCTGTACAGGGTTATTAGGCTGACTAGCTAATACATCCAAATCCGGTCTGCCCAGCCAGCAGTCCTCTGACAAAATGCTACCCAGAGTATGCAGACTACAAGTCTAAACTGAACAAGTCTGCAGCATAACTATTACCTCAGTATTCCTGCATAGCCATGCCTTAAAAACACCAGGATGCCCTTGTAAGACAGAGAAGGAAAATCACAATGAATACACAGTACTGTACCTGCTAGATGGATGTTGTCAAACAGAATCTTAACTAGCTCTTCAGACCAGTTTAAAAAGAGTGAAAGTTCTGTTCTAACAGAGGAGAACCCAAAGAGTTAACCACAGATGTGTTAAAATATAGCACAAACCTAGAATATTTGTTATGCTTTGTAAAATTTTAAGATTCTATCATTCTTTTAATAAAATTTTAGAAAACAAAAACCTGACCCCTCTAGAAATTCCCAGAATGTGTTATGGGAATTTGCCATACATTTCCATAGGGAAAGTATAGAATCCTTGACCTCAGGATAGTCTTCTAGCCAGTGAGAGATTTGAATCATTTTAAAGACACAGGTCCCAAACAAACAACAAAACCAAGACACTGAGATAACTTCTAAGATTTTCCATTGGTTCTATACTCTGTAGGTTACAGAATAACTCTCTGGAATAATTTGTATCCAAGTTATTTACAACCAGGCAATTGGGATAAATATCATTTTCACAATGACTTCTTTTTCCTGGATTCTAAGTCATGTACTTCAGGTTAAGGGATCACAAGTGTGAAACGTCACATGACTCTGCTCTCATTTGCTGACAGGGAGAGATGGGCTGTGTAAACTAGGAAGTGCACCAACCAGTCCTCACGCTCCTGAAGACTCTGTAGGTCTAGGACTAGCTACCCCTCATAACAACACACAGACACAATACACAAACACAAAAGAATCTTAAGTGCATTTTACAGTGGTAACATAGGACCAGGAGACAAAACAAGGTTAGAGGAAACAGCATTGACTGATGATACTTTAACATTCAAAATGTTTAAAGGAAAAAAAAAAAACTGCACTATTAATTATGCCTTCGATACAATGAACTGGCTTCCGGATTCTAAATATAACAACTTAATTTTGAAAAATTTAAGTAAAATTCAGTTTGTATATGCTACAAATAATGTTTGTCCCTAGAATTTTTAGCTAGTGCCTTATTAAACTTTTCATAAGTCATGTTTCTAAGTAATATTTTAAAAAGTCAGGCATATATACTAAGCCTGTACCAAATGCCAATAATTTGGGTAGTAATTAAAAGTTGTAATCACAGGAAATCCTTACTTTTTAAAACCTTTTTGCACATAGCTACACACTGTGCATGTACCCTCAATGAGATCCAATTAGTTAACAAAGAATTTGCATTTCAGTTAGTGTGGAATAACAAGACTACAGGGAGGCACAATGCAATTCCACCAACAGAGTAAGACGGTGTGTTCTTTCCTGTTAGCTCTGTAAGCAAAATTCCCACAAGCGGCTGCTTAAAATGTTACTATCTTTTCAATATTTGGGAAGTGAGGTAAATTTGGATCTTTCCTTTTATTTCCTCAAAAACTACATGTTGGTGTGAAGGTTAGCCACAATTACTGAAGGACCACGTCAAAGAAGGCTGGTTTGCATGTGCTTTTGGAATAGGTGTGTTTGTGTGTGTGTGTGTGTGTGTGTGTGTGTGTGTGTGTGTGTGTGTGTGTGTGTTCTAAAGGAGAAATAATCCATATATGTAGCCTTGGTTGGCCTGAAACTCACTATATAGACCAGGACCAGGCTTGACTTCAAGAGATCCAACAGTCTCTGCCTTCCCAGTACTAGGATTAAAGGTGTGCTCCACATGCCCAGCTTAACTTTTCTTCTCAATATTTAGTTTCTTTAAAACTCTCTGCTTTCCTAAAGTCAATCTATGGCCAGGAACAGTAAAAGACATAGCTCTATGCTAGGCTCTCATGCTCCAAAAAAGTGAGCTGAGAAAGCCCTTGAGGGCTGTTCCCCCCTAGCTGTGACTTCAACAATGTAAATCCTGAGCAAATATAAAATAAATGTATGGTTGTGGACACAATTTAAGAAGCATCCCCAGGAATTCTGATGGCTTATGGAGCAATACCTGTGATTCCCTGGGTTCAGTTCAGCAGCTGTTAGCAGATTCTGTAATCTGTAATGACAGTATACTGGCCTTTGCTCTTCTTTTATTCACTATTCATTTCCAAAGCTTGGTTAAGTACAGAGCTGGGTTAAAGATCAGTGGTTTTTCATGTGACACATGCTGGTATTCATCTAATGGCTTGTCAAGACAAAACTGTCCCTGTTCTTGCCAAAATAATAAAAATGACGCTCCACATCGCATGACAATCAGCTCTTCCTCATGGTGAAACAACTCAAGCCTTTTCTAATTCATTTATTTTATAGAAAAAAAAGCTAACTGGCTATCTAATCTTAATGTAGAGAATCAGATTGTCATTCTCAAAGGAAGCTTTAATGTTTTTGCTCTCAGACCTCTAAAGCAACATGTAAACTAGGCACTAATCAAATGCAACTTCAACATATAAAATAATGCTGAAGCCTGAGTTCCTGATGCATTAAGGTACATAACTTAATATATGCAGATTATGCAGGAGCAGCAGGCTGGACTCAGTCACAGAGGTGGGGCAGGCAATTGAGGAAATGTCATTTTTCTTGAGAACAAAGTGTGGGACTTGCTTTGCAACATCTGTTGGTCTGTGTGAAATGTTAACAGATGTCTTAAGTGGAAAAAAGGAGAGAGAGTTAATAAAGGAAAACTACTCTGAACAGATAATCCTTCCAAATTTCCATATTCCCATAGAAGAAAGTTGACATCGGCCTTTCCCCTTGCAAAACCCAATTTATCGTGCAAAGTTCCATTTCCTATGTGAAGTTAAGAAGTGAAAATTCCAACTCACTATAAAAGAACAGAAAAAAAGCTAATAATAATTTTGATTTTTTTAAATTTCAAATTTTTGTGTTTGCTTTATAATTATTTAGTTATCTATATTGTTTGTTTTTCCTTGAGTCACAAATGTGATTTGATGAAAGTATTCATCTCCCTCAAAACATACAAACACAAGCACATACACAGAAGAAATAATACCTACTGCATTATATGTGCATGTTGTGGTGAAGGGAAAGGAACAGATATTTAAAAGTAGTTTTTAAGTAGTTCTTAAGAACAGCCATCTTTTGGGTTTTTTTTTTTGGTTCATCTGTTTTATTTATTGATTTATTTTTAACATAGGTTCTTTCTACATAGCTGTCCTGGAACTCACCATATAGCCCAGCCTGGCTTCAACTTGAACTCACAGAGATCTGCCTGCCTCTATGAACCATCTTTTTAATGTAAAGGTAATCATATTCACAATTACGAGTCACATAATATTTACACCTGCATCCTTGCTTGCTCCTAATTCCTTTCTTTCCATTACTATCTTAGTAAGAGATTAGAGACACACTGTGTTTCAACAGTCAAGTGTTCTCAAGCAATAACATCTGGAAGTTGTGGATCCTCATGTTCAAATTTTAAGGGACCTTGAAAAAATTGCTTATTTAGCATTTCTTTTTCTTGTTTCAGTTTGTTAGATGACTGACCCAAACATGCATATAGCAGTCTTTAATTCAGGTTAACAAGAGATGCACAGGCAGGAGGGACATGGTGGTTCAAACCTTTAATCTCAACATTTGGGAGGCAGAGGCAGGCAGATCTCTGTAAATTTGAGGACAGTTTGATCTGGTTCCAGACTATGCAGGAGCTACACAGTGAGATCCTGTCTCAAAAATAAAAGAGATAAACAGAAAAATAGCAATAAAAAGATGATTCATGCACGCCAAGAACTGAGTGTAATCAAGTGTCATGTGTAAGTGATCTGAACTATATCAGCATCTATTCTATTGCTTTTCCTACTAAAACCTTAAGATAAGATTTTAGGTCTAGAGTCCATGAATTAGCTAATTCAAAATTCACTTAAGGATCTTTATGGAAAGGAGAACAAAATCATGTTGTCATCTTTGATGGGAGTCTCAATTCCTGAACCTCTCTCCTCCAAGAGCCTGTGTTAGAATGCACACGTTACTTCATATTTGTAACTATACCTTTGCCAGGTGGCTTTGACAAGCTGGGCTGGGCATTTCAACATATAGCAGCTCCAGCCAGAATAGCCTGAATATTTCACAGAGCAAGATCATGGTCCAACTTGTAAGTAAGAAGCACATACATGCCTTCATTTTTAGTTAGTTTTCTGCCAAACCATTCTGGATACTAAATACTCACAGGAACACCAACCACATCAGTGCACAAGACAGAAATAATAAATGCCATGTACCCCCAAAAAAGAAGAAAAATGGTGACCAACACTGACAGAGAAACCTTTATGCATTAAAAATATCTTTATGTGACTAGAAAAGAAACACAAGCCCCCTAATATAAAGGTTGAGACACTTTAATCAGTGACATTAACATCCCCCATAGGAAAATATTACCTAAAAGCTTCATCCAAAAGAGAGAAACTGCTCCAGTTGACACTTGTCTAACAGTGACTGAGATGTAGCATGTGTTGACAGCCTAATCAAGGGCTCAATTCTGTAACACACTTCAAGGAAGTACCCAAATGCTATAATCCTTTGATACTATGAAAATATGAAAATGGACAGATTTGGGTACAGTATAGTAAATAAGATAGTTTACAAAATGCTAAGGAATGGCTGACTACCTTGGAACCAAGATTTATGTTTCAAAAAAGCATCTTCGGTCAGTACGAACCTTATCCCTACCTTGTTTTGATCTAAAAACAGAAAAGTGATTTTAATCTTTTTGTGGGTACAAGCAGTAGCAAAAGCTTTCTTTATACCACAAGCTATAGTTGATTTTTTTTTTTGAGAAAATCTTCTAAAAGAATCAGTGGTATCTTTCCTTAAATGAATATGAGTAGGAAAAAGGGGGAAAAAAAAGAAACAAAAAAATCCAACAGGCTGGGGCAGGGAGGGGCACTGGGGAATTACTTTCATATGACCATGAAAGTTGCAGGACTGTAAAGACAATATTAATTTTTTTATTTACTTCCTTCTAAAAACTGTAGACCGAGATGCTGGCAGCTCCAGTAAAAATGTCATAATAATAGTTTAAATTACTGTCAGGAAGGAAGATTGAGATTCACTTGCACACAAGAAACCACATTACAAGGATGGGCTCAATACCTTACAATTATTTGAAAAAATACAACACTTTAAAGTTAACACACTAAAAAAATACAATAAAAAATACAATGTATGTAATTCTCAAACCTAAAAATAAATTTAAATGGTGAAATGTAAAAATGAAGTTTCAAAATGCCAAGACCATTTTTAAATAGGCACAAAACACACATATACAAACACACACAAACACATATACACACAAACACATATACACACAATGAGCACACACAAACACATACACTCACAGACAAACAATTACATATAAAAATTCACAAACACACATAAGCACACACACATACCTTTAAATGGAAAAATACTGATGCAAGGAAAATTTGAATGAACTTGCAGATAGGTATTCAAATTAAAAAAAATTAAAATGGGAAGAATAACTGGAAGTCCAGGGCATCTGTGTGGTGAGGGTCCCTGGTGGAGGGCATCAGCTGGGAGCAAGCAGACAGGAAGCTTTGAAAACACAACCATGTTATCTGCCCATCCAGCTGGTGTCCTGGTTAGGGTCACCTTGTGAAAACTCACCAGTCTTCTCTCTCTCTCTCTCTCTCTCTCTCTCTCTCTCTCTGTGTGTGTGTGTGTGTGTGTGTATTTCGATTCTCCAAGATTACCACTAGTACCAAGTCTATTACTAAAAACAGAGATGATGATAATAAATCAGCCCTAGAAACTATGTTTAAAAAAAGATGAAGATGAAAAGAAAAGGAAAGGGAGGGGAAGAAAGAAGATGAAACAAAAGAAGACAGTTTATCACAGTCAAAATCATTCAAATAACTGCCACAGAATTCTACTTCTTAATTTCTTCAGAGGCAAAGTGCTGGGAAGCAAATAAATATATTCATTTACTAAGGGTGGGAGAAAGACTAATATGTGGAAGAGCCTCAACAGGACAGTCAAAGCATGTGAGCACATTTAAGTGACTTTAATAGGAAGAAACAACATACCTCAAGTTGAGATGGATCAACCCCACAGCAGGGGACCTTGAAATGTGCTTGCCAGTCTTGATCACCAAGCCTGCCCTCTGACTTGTAACTGAGGCAATTTGGAGGTGGGGAGGGCACAAATCGTGCCTGTTGAGAGATTGGAAGAGGAAAGAAATTACATATACTCTGCAGACAGTATTATACAGAAACACTGGTTATATCAAGACACTTTATCTTCAAAACTGAAAATGTAACATATTCCTCTGACCACTCAAACACTTTTAAAAAGAGTCAATCACTAAGGTTACAACACCAACAGTTAAATACATGAACCATGAGAGAATAAACAATGAGGCAGAATAACAATAACTCACTGACAGGTAACATGGCAGGGGGATTGAACACAGCTTCTTGTTTTAAAGCAGAAACTCTCCTATTAAACTACACCACCAGTCCACTCAGTCTCTTTTTTTCAGTTAGGGGGCAAAGAATTGTGAGGATGTTTGAAACTGGGGCTGCCAAACATAGGTTCTACCACTAGGCTACCCCCCAACCAGTAGCTCAACTCCAGTTTCTTCCACTAAACATAAAGAAAATCATTTAAACCTTTTTACTGACTGTTGAAGGACTATTTATCAAGCCTCACACACCAAGTACAAGAAGCTATGAGAAACACCAAAATCAGATGTAATCTCTGCTCATGAGAAGCTTAGAATCTGGTACAGAACAGAAGCCATGCACCAAAATGACCTTATATAGACAGTGTGATAAGAGAGCAGTAGAACCATGTGATTTAGGAAAGGATGCCTTCCCACTGATATAGGGGAAGAAAGCTTCCAAGCAAAGGCAGCCTTTGTTCTGGGCACAGAGAGACTAGCAATATTCCTCTAGAGAAGCCATCCAGTTTGCCTAGAACTTAGGTAGGATGCTATATAAAGCAGTACTAAATGAAAGGATATGTAAGCAATAGAACTTGGTAAGAATCCCACAGTCCACACTAAGTTGCTATTCTATTATCTACACTATCAGCCAAGTCTATTAAAAGACCTCAACAGCAGCACCCCGTGATTGTTAGTATTCTTTAAGAAAGTGCATCTAGGACAGCACCTAAAAATGTGACTAGAACAAAGGTAAGAGCTCAATTAGGGAGCTACTATAATGAACCAGTTAGAAGAAAAGCAAAACACAAAAGACATGGTGAGGATGAAATTAAGGAGGTAAGAATACAGGTAACAAGGAGGCTGAACATATGCTCAGTGATTAAGAGAACATGCTGTTCCTGTAGGGGACCCAAGTTAGTTCCTATGTTGGATGGTTCACAACTGCCTGTAACTCCAACTCCAGGGCATCTGATATCTTCTTCTAGCTTCCACAGGCATCTGCACTCACGTGCACACATACAACACCTCCCTCAAGAAGCACACACATACACATAATTAAAAATAACAATAAATCTTTTTAAAAAGATGTGGGTCACAAGAGTCAATGTGACACTACAGAGCTAAGAACTTCTACAGAAATGTAGGATAATTTAGGGGAATATAATCGAGTTCAGTTTGGGGTTTAGAGATAATCATGCAGGTAAGTAGGCAGTAGAAAGTTCAGAAAACAGACCTATACTGGAGTTACCAGATTTGGATCCATCTATGTAAACATGACATTAAAGGTGAAAGAATACTGCCATGTTGACCATCTTTGGGGAGACTTGTTATTATGAATGAGAAAATAAAGTGTAATCTGTTACGGATTACAAAGGAAAGTACAGGATGGTTCAGAGTCTTAAATAATACTATCCTTAGAATATAATAAAAGAATTTAGTAGTAAGTAGAAATATAGAAATGCTCCATCCATCAAGATAGCATGTGATATAATTTAAATGACTAAGTTCTTCAGATGTGTTCATTATCAATTTGTTTCTTTGAGTAAATGTATGTTCAATCTACAATTCCCAATATATATTTGTTACCAAATTATTTTATTATATTTACTTTTTGTTTTGTTAAGTATTTATTAATTTCTGTGTCATGAGTTGTTTTAGTATGGTGATATGCATATATGATGCATATTATAAAAAGTTAAGAAGTATGTTATTTGTAAAGACATAGAGGCAGAAATGGTAAAATATTCTTTGAAGAATTTTGAAAGTAAATAAAGTAAGAGAAAAGTGGCCTGAAAAGCTAGTGGAGTTTAGAGAAGTGTGTTTAGGAACAGTTTGTTTTCTACTATAGGAGGTTAAAAAGAAGTCTACAGCAAGCAAAGGGGACAAAGCCAGCAGAGAAGAGGATATTGAAGATCTAAGCCAGAGGGAAAATGATATAAAGGGTCCTAGGAGAGAATGTAATAAGAACACAAATGAAAAGGCTCCCTGACTGGTGAAAAAGCTCTCCTCAGAAACCAAAGAAATGATACAGAAAATTTACCATGGTTAAGAAATGCAGGTATCAGCTGGGCAGTGGTGACACAAACCTTTAATCCCAACACTCGGGAGGCAGAGGTACATGAATCTTACTAGTTCAAAGCCAGCCTGGACTATAGAGTGAATTCCAGGCCAGCCTAGACTACACAGAGAAACCCTTGTCTGGAAGCAACAAATCAAAAGAAATGCAGGGATTGGTGTGTGTGTGTGTGTGTGTGTGTGTGTGTGTGTGTAAATATATAAATACAACCTGCTAAGTCTATTTATTCAGTGTTGCTTGCATGTAAATGATGTCAGGACTGACCATTTGCTATTGGATAACCAATTACAGGTCAACTTCCTGGGGGAAAACAACTTCTCTCAGCATCCCTTAGTTGCCTGTAGTTTATTTGTCTGGGGGTGGGACCCCACGAGATTTCCCTCTTCCACTTTTTCATGTTGTCCTTGTTCAGGCCTTGTCATATTGTAACAATTAAAGAAGATGAGGGCAGGAACTTGAGAAGGAGCAAGGGTGGAGGTCATGGAAGTTTTGGAAGAAGGAATAGGAATGGAGAGAAATGATGTAATTATATTTTACTTAAAACAATAATAAATATGTTCAATGTTTTTTTTTTAAACAAAGAAATGCACACATCAAGAGTTCAGTTAAGAGCATTAAGGACACCTAGAGAAGAGAAAAGAAATGGGCTACTTGAAAAGGGTACAATGAAAGGTCAGAGTCAATAAGGAGTGAGTAGAAGAAATGAAAAATGAAAGAAAGGTGTCGGGAGTCTTGTCTCACTCAATTGGATCCAAAACAATGCACTGTGTTAAGGAGATGGCTCAATGGTTAAGTATTGTTCTTTCATGGGCTCCAAGTTCAGATCCCAGTATGGATACAAGGTAGCTTACAACTGCTGTAACTCCAGCTCCAAGTAATATGATGCCCCTTTTTGGCCTCTGTAGACACCTGCATGCATTCACACACACAAAAAATTTCTACAATTTTAAAACTTTTTTAAAAGGTTTATATTTAAAATTTTAAAGATAAGCCTTTTTAAAAAGACAGTGTATTTAGGAGTTAGTTTTTAATTTGAAATCTAGAATGCTTAAAATCAGCAAGGAGTTCTTAATGTAGCGAACAAGGCCTTGCTCCAAAACACACAGACCAGTAGGAAACAGAACTTTGGAAACCATAACAATTGCATACATTTTCATAGTGATGAATTCATATAAAAAATTAAAATGCCAAGAACAGAGTTGAAATCAAATTATTTGATCTTTATTTATTCATACCACAATTCAAAGTGTTTACCAAGCATTTAAAAAAATGGCTATAAATTTACTTTTGGCTAAAGAAATTCCCCAAAGCAAACAAAATACTGAAATAATTAACTATATCACATATGTGACCTGAGTGAAGTGAGGGGGTATGTTTAAGAATATTGCTTCATTAGCCAATATGAGACAAAGCGGAGAGGTCCTCTCCTTACTGCTAAGTCCTCCCTCCAGGTCTCTGTGACCCAAAGTCATAGCAACTCTCCACCCAATTAGTGAGAGTTGCATTAGCCAAACTTGTAGTCCAGAATCCCTCTAAAGACTAGGGAAATGATGAGTTCCATCACCTGGTCAGTATCTACAATCACCAAAGAACCACCCCAGGGACATGGACAAAGACATTTATCTGCTATGCTGGCAGCCACTACAACCAGCCTTCCTAAAGGAGTCCTTTCTGTAAGGACCACTGTCTAAGTGACCTGTCATACAGCTTTATAAAGTAGCATTAATACTGTGGGCCAAAATGAGATTGATCTTTGAGCTTCGTGGTCTCCTGTTGTCAACAGTGCATTATAAAACCAATACTAAATACTTTATAAACAGGTCTCCCTACAGTGTATTAGAGAAACAGTGCATATTTCATGCCCCATAGTCAGGTAGCCACATATCCATCAGGCGAATCCATTATTTATTAGATACTCCGAAATGCAATAAGAGTCAATAAACTTCTGGATTCTTGTATGCAACTATTTCCCTGGAAATTGTACCTGGATTAGAAAACTTTCTCACTAGCAATGGTGGATGGAAGAGCTTCTTTCCAGTATGCTGTTAGAAGAAAGCACATACCTCTTAAGAAAGAAGAAATTCTTATGTCCTAAAGACAACTTTTGTCATTGAATTTTAAGTACTACCCAACCCATATTCATTTCCTTTACTTTGTTTATACATGCCTCTGATTCTCCCATCCTCATGGACAGCTCAGGGGAATAAAGATGGGCAGAAACATGTCACCTCACTCAGGCCAGGTGACAACTTCCACTGATGCTCTGGACTTGCTGTCTCAAAGAAACTACACAATGATTTGTCCATGCTACATGTGAAGCATGGAATTCAGAAGTCATTAACCAAAGGTTTAAAAAGCTTTCATTTTATTAATTTCTTTTGTTTTTTCCCTGCTGTATTTTCAATTAAAGCTCCCAAGGCCTTAGATGCCTATGATGCAGTCCCTAATGCCCAGGCCAACACCACCAGGCATCTCATGTGTATTTCAACCATTCGGAGAGAGCACCTTCTGCTCTGGAATGTATTCCAGCCCTTCAAGGAAGGATTTCTTCATCTGGGAGTTATTTCTCAAACTATAAGAGGCGTGGACCTTTGTGTAGAATTGCGGGTGCCATGGTTTCACATGCTGGCCACATTAATAGTGGAGAGCAAGCATCTGTAACCCACAGCTGTGTGTGCTCCAGCCCCAAA